CACTCGTGAGCAGAAACACTTTAACAAAGTCTACAATGGTGTGGTGGAGGCATTCATGGCATTTGGACGTTACTGTGAAGACAAACCTTCACCCAGAGATTCTTCTGATTACGGAACTTTTGATGACGAACAAGATCGATGATTGACAGCTGTCACCACAAACTCTCATTAAAAGACTTTTACTTTCATAACTTCTTATCATTTACAACACAGACAGCAACATGTTTGAACATTTGGACGACAATCCTAAATGGTGTGCAGTGGCTTTAGAGGATTTTAACACATTGTAGAGAAAGATGCAGACTATGGTGATTACTGCCGAATACTGAGATATACCAAGCAGTACATACAAGAAACTGATCCTGCACAAGTAGAAGACGATGAAGATCAATTACTTAAACTGCATACAGATGTCATAAAAGCTTTCCTCGCTTACACGCAACATTGTGAACTACTCTACCATAAAAAGTTGGACAATGAACAAAGCAGCAGCAACGACGAGGATGAAGTGCCACCTAAAGAGACTAAAGAAGACCTTAAGAAAACCTATACACCTCAACCATTTCCAGAACATTTAATTGCAATTCAATTAAACTCTTAATTTTTTCGCACTACTGTATACAAACATAATAAAAGTTTTTGATTTGAAAACTAACTATTTTGTTTGTGGTTAATCCTTCTGCCATCTTGGATTCTTTTGTCTCCTTTGTTTCAGACGCCATATTGGATTTTATTGTTCCGTTACTTTTTAAATCACAAACCCTCACCCTAAAAAAACCTCTCGTAAACCTACGCAACGTGAATAATTATCCCTAAAAACCCCTCGTACATCTACGCCATATGAATATATTAACCTCTACACCCTTAAAATACCTCGTACACCTATGCCATATGAATATATTAACCTCAGCCGAGTCACTCGGACCCAGGCCTCTCGGGTATCACTATAAAGGCGACCTAACCTACTCTCGCGCCATTTTCGTACCCATTCTTCGTCCGGCAAAAGAACCCTATTGAGCCACCTTAACTTAAGATTAATCAATGAAATTTTGTCGTAGGATAATTCTGCGCGTCGACAATAGCTATATCTAGTTATAGTTTTGTAACTCTTTAGAAATTAGAAGATTATTGTGACATATCGCTCTCTGTTTTCATGATAGTGGAAATGATTTGAAAATAAAACTAAACTGATGATTTTTTTCCTCCTGTTGCCTGTAATTCAATATCATATAAAATTATTTCGTAATGTCATTGTTATTATCAGTACATTAACGCTTACTAATGCAGTAACTTGTTACAATCAAACCTCGATTATCCTCGATTAGTCAACTTACGATGAAAAGTATCTATCTTTTATATAATGTGGGTCTCAAAGAAGAAGTTAATGTACATAAGGCACATAAAACATTGCTGCCAATAGAATAAAGGGAAAAAAA